GCACCCAGTGCTGGCACTGCCCCAGCATGGGAGGTGTGGAGTTTTCATGTGGCAGATGTGTCCTCCCAGCAGAAGGGAAGAAACAGAATATGGAAAAGAACATTTAATAACCTCAATTATTCTTCCAGGGTGAAAACTGACGCAGACTTGAAAGTGAGTTGTTACTGTGTAACTTCATCTGTGACCTGTACAATAATCTAATTGTTGTTTGAGGTGATCTTTTTTCAAAGCTGTGATTTCTCTTGATCTTAGGATCAAAAATGTTCTTAAACACGAGTCACTCCATGAACCTGCTGCATGTATTATTTTTCTTTTGCCAGCGAGAAGGGTATGGAAGAGAACAGAACAGCAGATCTTCCCCTGAGCAGCGTTTCACAATCTCCATCAAAACCTTGTGGTTCTTTAGGTGTCACCCTGTACAAACGTGACAGGATAATTCCAAAGGTGTTGGGTGATGTCAGTGAGGTGCTGCTGCTCTTCTGGCAGTTGCAGAGCAGGAGATGTGGATGACTGGGCCTCTCTGCCACTCCATCAGTGGCTGATCCCAAACCACACCTGCCTGTCTTGTCAGGCTGCTGCAGCACCGGTTGTGCAAAGGCAGCGCTGACAGACCTGATGTCATCACATGATGGCATGTGCTTTTTATAGGGTGAATACAGTTTTCTTACTCTGGGCAGGATTCTTGTCCAAAGACATGTTCTTTTGAACTGAATGTGCTGATCCAGTTTTCCTGGTAACTGAGCTGCTTCAAGGAGTGTCTGTAGTTGTCAGCCAGCAGCTCTAAAAGGCATCTGTGTGTCGGAGGTGGTGTGAGGAGACTTGGTACTGAATAAAATCCTGTCTGCTGCGAGACTAGAGCAGCTTTCATTTAAAATTATTTTTTTTAAAAAAAAGCATATCTGTGGAGACTGAGTCCCTTCACAAGTAACTTTATTGATATAGAGAAAGCTATAATTGGTTAAAAAGTGCTTTCCTTGCTAGGAGTGAATGTAAGGACATTAATTGCAAAGGATGTTGACTGTGAACTCCAGCTGGCTTTGCTGGTGAAATAATAATGTTAAACAAAATAACCAAAAACACAGAAGGGAACCAACTAAATATTTGTTTTTCTTCATTCTGGATAGACTCTTTAATGGAGCCTGTCTAAAGGGAATTGTTAATCTGTAGACCAAAACAACTTTTTCATACAGAACAGACACTGGATTGTACTGGGTGTTTTTGTATAAAAGGCAGCCCGGTGCCCGCCAGAGCAGTGGACAGCATGTCGTTTGTTCCCCTGGGAGATGTTCTGACAAACTCTGGAAAGAACAGCTTTCATGTCATCACCACTGCCTGCACTGGCTCCTCTGTGCCCTCCCAGAGCTCTCCTTTCGCTACCTGCACTGCTCAGATTTCTGGTACTCTGCTTGCAGCAATGATTGACCTATTTCCATCAGCCTGGCTAATCATTAGTTGACTTAAAATTGACACCTCCTTGTTGTCTGGGGGCTGGATTTGTTGTAATGGTCTGGTGATGTTTTCCTTAGTGTTCCTCCCTAAGGCTGTTTGAAGAGCTTCCCAATGTTCTCCTGTCCTTTTTGCTATTTGAATTTAAGGTGCATCTTTTGAATTAAAGTCTTGCTTTATTGCCCTGCATTTCCTGTTCTTCCTCTGCTTGAATGCCCTTCTTAAAGCCCCAGGCCTGACAGCCCTGGCTGAGGGCTTGAGCCTGGTAGATTATGGGGACCTTCAGAGAAAAAATTCTCCAGGTGTTTAGGGTTGTTTGTGCTTTCTGTGCACCATATCCTGAGTAGAAACATACACTGGGGAATATGACTGGGAGGTGGAATATTTCCACTGAGAATTAAAGCCAGGCCACAGCTCATTCCTTAATCTTGAAATTAAATTAAATTTCAGGAAGGATTTATGTTGGAGGGAGGGAAGTTTAGTGTTTGAATTTGTCATTCCTTGACTCTGTTGACTTCCTTCAGCTTGGCTGAGATGCTGTGCTGACAGTACTCCCAGACATGCTCTGGCCATCTGTAATGTCCTTTCTGAGATCTTGCACAGCCAGCATGAAACCCCTCTTGCATTGCTGAGCTGGACTGTGTGTGCTGTTTGTGACCAGGTGTTATCACACTGCTGCAAGCTTCTCCTTTCTAATTTTTTTAACTACTTATCAAACTGGTCTTCATTTTCAGTTAATCTGTTTGGTGCTCCAAGCAAAACTCTTGCCCAGGAAAGAAAACTTTAACAAAACTTTACCTATGAATTACGGGAGGGGCTCAAAAGAACTTTTATTTTTGCTCAGACTGTGCTTCTGCAGCTTAAGACTGTTTCCAAGTGTGATTTTGAGCATTTGCAGAACTGAGATAGTGGGATAACTGGAAACCCTCACCAAAAGTCTGTCTGGCAGATGCCATTAGGTTTAAGGCAACAAACTCAGGAGGCTCAGTCCTCCCTGCAGGTGGGACTGGTAGGAGGATACTGAGGGTTCTCCCAGAGTGTTTTCCCCTGACTTGTTCTCAGTGCTCTGTTCCTTTGTTTCTGCTTTTGCCACTTGGCACATGGCAAAATGGAAGATATTTTCACACAGAATGGTATTGTGCCTCCTCTTTGCAATGTTACTTATTTCTTCATCCATAAAGACTATCAAGTTGAAATTTCCTTTTACCAGGCAGGCTGCTGTTTTGAGGAGCCTGCTTTCAAGGTGGAGGCAGAGAAATGGAACTGCTCTGAGGACTGGAATTTCAGAAGAGATTCTTCCCTGTGAGGGTGGGAAGGCCCTTGGATCCCTGGAAGTGTCCAAGGTGGCAGAGGACTGGAACTGGATGGGCTTTGAGGTCCCTTGCAACCCAAACCATTTCAGGATTTGATGAACTGCTGGAGCTGCTATTGTTCACCCTCTCCTGGTGCTCTCCCATATTCCCATGTTAGGAAGACAATCCAAATGTAATTTGAAGCTTGCTGTATAGCTAACAGACACTTCTGCCCCTCCTGCTGCTGTAGCTCTGTTAACAATGGATTCCTTATTTATAACTTTGGCAATACTAAAATTTGACATCATTGAGTTTTAAGTGATTTACATCTTGCTGTGCTGAATGCTGAGAGTTCTGTCACATTCCCTCATCCAGGCATTCATTCAGCACCAAGAATGAGACACTAAAAGTTCTCAAACATAGAATGCCTGAAGAAGCTGCATTAGATCAAATATTTGGATGTAAGGCCTAGAACTATTCCTACAGAACAGCTGTACAACGTTTTAACTGTGCCCTCTTACTTGGAGTGGGGAGACAGGTCCTGGAAAATCATTTGATTGAATAATATTAACAACTGCTTTTAGGCTTTGGTCTGTCTAGTGAACAGCCTGTCAGGCTAATGAACACCTGGCAGCATTTTATGTCTTCTGGCATTAGGTGCTCTCTGGTTATTTACTATTCTTTTAAGTAAGATGGAGTTTATATAAAATCCCCACATTTGATAGGTGGTGGATGCCAGCTCAGAGTTGCTTGCACAGCTCTGCAGTTGTGTTTGTCATGGCTGGGGATAGGTGACAAGCTCCAAAAGGCAAACTCCACGGCCTCCGGTGTTTGAGCAAATCCAGTTGCTTTGACTGGATTTGTTCATGTGCAGCAGCTTTGTTCAATGGAAAGGCTGTGTCAGGAGAGTTGCCTCTGTGAAGTCCTCAGCTGAAACCTCCTCAAGCCCACATATCTGTGTCTTTTTCTGTATCATCTGAAATCCAAACAGTTCTCAGCTTTCCGTACTCCAGGGGCAGCCAGTTCTTGTGTGGAAGTAATACATGATAACCCCACCTCCCTGTGCAGAAATAGAGACTTGCTGCCTGCCTTGCTGACTCTTCACATGTCCTGTTTGAGCAGATATCTTTTCAATTGTCATTTTTGGATTGGCTGTTTTGCCATTTGCAGCTTCATCACTATGATACAGATTTATTCTGATTTTAGAGGATTCATTTGGAGAAACAGCACAGTTGGGGGGCAGACTTTTTCATGGATGAAGTCTTTGTGCTGTTCAGTTCCCAGTGATTTTTATTTTTCCCAGCAGAACATACTTTAAATTCTGCTTGTTTTGGCATTGGAGGACTGTGCTTTTCTCATCTTTATTGTTATAAAGCCCCAGAGCCTGGCAAGCCAAAAAATTCCAGAGGAGATGGACAGTGCTGCTTCTAGCCAGTCTGTTGGATTCCTGCTGACAGGTGGCTGTTTGTGGTGTGGATCTGCTTGTGCAATGATGGTGAAAGGGAAAAAAAAGATGTTCAGAGGGAAGAAAAGGCAAGAACTGAGCAAGGAGAAATGAGGCAGATGGGTTAGTTCCACGTGTCCTGGTGCTGAGCCTGGAGAAATTTCATGTAATGTAGATACTGAATTCTTGGAGTTAGAAGCTCCGTTTCCAATGGCTCTTGTACAGGCAGGGAAGGAATGGGCTCACTTCATCCATGTTTTCCCAGTGATGACAGGGAGATCTGAATGACAACAACCGTGCTGTTCCTAAGCCTCTAGGAAGTTCTTAGTTGAATTTGAATTCTGCTTCTCTGTTTTGCAGACCCATCTGCATGTTCCCAGGTATTACAAAACACTGAAAGTTGGAAATACATTATTTTGTCTGGAGGGTTGTGTTAGCACTGGGTTGGCTTCCAGCTTGAAAATGCCTTTCAGCAATAGCTTTTCCATGAAATCATTATGCCCTAGCAAGTGGTTTCACAAAGTCATGGGTGGTGGTGTGCAGTTACCTTAAGCCTCTATATGTCTTTTGCAATGAAATTGGAATTTTTGATTTAGAAGAAGCTGCACTTGGAGCAGCTGTTATCAGGGAAAAGAATCCTTGGCAGAAACTATCACCAGCTGTGTCCTTGGTGTCAGTGTAACACCTGCTTGACTGGTTTCTTGTTAGAAACTCCTTATATAGGTCCTGTCCTTAAATTTTAAATACCTCAGTTCACTGCAGAACAGCAGAGCCCAGCACATCCTGTGCTGAAAGGGTTAATGGTAATTTTCTCAACAATGTCTGACAAGCTCTTTGCCCTAAAGAAGCCCCCGGCATACACAGAATTAAGGTGGATTTTTATTTTTCTTTCTACCCATGAACAGGCCAAAGGGGAAATGCACTGCAAGGAACTCAATAACTACATTGTAAGTTGAGTTTTCCTTGTAGGTTATAGAAATTCCAGCTGGACTTTTAATGAAAGTGCTTATGACACTGCTTTGGGAGAGGGTGGTGCCTCTCAGGTCCTGCTGGTTGATGTTTGCTGCTGTTACAAACCCAGCATGTCTGCAACAGCTTGTAATTTAACAATATTCTTGATTACAGCTGGCCACTGCTCAATCCCCTTTGCAGCCTGAGTGGAGCTGCACATTAAGGATAATGTTTGGCAACAGCAGCTTGTGAATGTGTATTTTTCTCCCTTATTTTCCAGTGCATGCACATAAGTACCACTGTACTAATGGAGCAAAAAGTGCTCATTCTGTTCTCTACATCAGCAGTGTGTTCCACCCGATATCACGGGGGTCTAAATGATGTTGGGATGAGGCTGTTTTGTCTGCTGTGATCAGGTCAGATGTGTGATTTGTTCTCCTTCTGCCAAAGGAATCTGCTAGATATTTTTATCTTTGCTAGGCCACGTGCTCAGTTTTGCTCTGGTTAAGCACAAGTATGTCAGAAATATTCATTTCTGCTTAGAAGGGAGAATTTTGCCTGGTTCTGATGGATAGGTTTTCACCCTTTTCAGAGCAGGTGAACAGTTATAATCCTATTTCTTCGCAGTTTGTACATGAATGTAGCTGCAGATGTAAGGTGATGTGGTGGAGGGAAGGTGGAAATTGATGTGACATTAAGTAGCTAAAAGCTGCTGGTCCAATACAAGTTCCCTGAATCCCCTGAGTATGAAATGTGCTCCCAGGTGAAGTGAGCAGCTCTTTCTTCACTGCTTAAGCCTGCCTGGGTTAAAAAGTTACTTGTATCTTGCTTTACTGCATCCCACTTCAGGAGACTGAGTGAAGCATTCTGCCAAAAACCGAATGCTCTGCTGCCTTCTTCACTTTCCCTTTCAGCAGTGTTCCTTGGCCATCCTTGTTGGATTTACCAGGCTGTGTTAATATAGAGGACTAAATAGCAAGCTGCAGCAGAAAGCAAATGTATTCATCTGGAGATGCTTCCTCTCTCCAAACCTCCCAGAGCAGCTTGTCCTCCTGGATCAATGAGCTGCTTGTCTTGGTTTCTGTGAAAGCTCCTGAAGCCTGTGTGGTTTGTTCAGTGATGTGTTGTGGTCATTAAGGTGTGACACTTCTGCTCTCTCCAAAGAAACTGCTTGGGTATCAGTGTGAGAAGCCATTTCAGGACTGTTACAAGACCCTATTTCTCAAATTGTTCTAGATCCTCCAAGTTAGGAAAAGGTAAGAAAAATATGTTGCCTTCTTTTGGGATGAATTATTGTACAGCAGGAGTAATCAGCTGATGCAAAATGAAGCTTGAGTTGAGAAGCTGCTGGTTGTGAAACAGAGGCAGTGACCTCGAGGGGCTGCCCTCACTTGAGTCACTTCTGTCCTGCTCTCCCAGCCGGGTGGGTGAACAGCCTGTCCTTCAGCCCTGTAGTTTTAATTCTTCATTTCCCCTTACCAGGGTGACCTTGTCCTCCACGGACTGTTACATTGTGCACGAGATCTACAACGGGGAGAATGCTCAGGACCAGTTTGAGTACGAGCTGGAGCAGGCGCTGGAAGCGCAGTACAAGTACATCGTGATCGAGCCCACGCGCATCGGCGACGAGACGGCGCGCTGGATCACCGTGGGGAACTGCCTGCACAAGACGGCCGTGCTGGCGGGCACCACCTGCCTCTTCACCCCTCTGGCACTGCCAGTAGATTATTCTCACTACATCTCCCTGCCCGCTGGAGTGCTGAGCGTGGCTTGCTGCACCCTCTACGGGATCTCTTGGCAGTTTGATCCCTGTTGCAAGTACCAGGTCGAGTACGATGCCTATAAACTTTCGCGCCTGCCCCTGCATACGCTCACCTCGTCCACTCCCGTGGTGCTGGTGAGGAAGGACGACCTGCACAGAAAGAGACTGCACAACACGATAGCACTCGCTGCCCTGGTGTACTGTGTAAAGAAGATCTATGAACTCTACGCTGTATGACTTCAGCAGGGAAGAGAGAAACCCACAAAGACAAGTGTATTAAGACTCCCACAGTAACATTTTGTTTTTCCTCTTTGAGAAGCGGTGGAGACTGGGAAGGATTTGGTTTAATAGAGCTGTTATTTTTCAAATAACACATCACTGGTGCACCAAGGTTTTTCAGTTCTTCGTTACACTTGAGATGTGGATGTGTGGTGACTTGAGATCCGTATGTTAGGCCAGGGGAGTCCAATCCAGCAGCAGAATGTCAATGAAAGAAAGCAATAGAAAGAAGGGGTGTGAGAGCTGCTTTCTTTTTTTTTTCCTTTTTTTTTTTTTTTTTTTTTTTTGGGAAACATTTAAGTATATTGTTTAATTGTATTACACAGAACCAGCCAGAAGTTATCATTGACCATTAAAGGATGAGAATTTCAAATGCTCTTGCTCTCTTGTCACTGTTATCAGAGTGATACCACTTTAAGTGTCCAGCTACAAACACATTCTGCTTAGTTCTTGTAGGAGTTCTTCCTAAGGTGGATACATCTCTGAAATGCCTTGAGCCACAAGCAGAGCTGGGGGCTGCCAAGGTGGGAACCTACTTGCCTTACCTTTGTGCTGTGCCCTGACCACACAATTCCACTGCTTTTGCCTGGAACACAGGAGCTGCCTGCTCCTGCTGCAAGGCATCCACGTGACTGCATCTTGTAACTGTGCTACCTGAAATTTTAGAATTCAGTACTGTGCATTAATTCATTTTTTAGCTTTAAACTCAAAATCTTGTTCTTAGAATGGGAAGCATTTACTCCTCTGTGAGACCTGCCAGTTATTTTTAAAAGATAGGAGCTTGCTGTCTGTAATCTCCTCCCACCACATGGAGAATAGGTGTGGCTGGCATTGGCAGGGCCAGCTTGGCACGGCTCCAGGTGTTACATTTGGAATAGGAGAGCAAAGGCCTGCAGTGAGAGCTGCCTGTGCACTGTGTGCTCCCTGCTCCAGTGGGAGCTGCAGCCTGCCCTTCACAGCTGAAACACTGACCTTGACAGGGATCAGACCCCAAATTCTGCTCTTCTGTCTTTATCTCTCCAAATTGCCACAGCAAGCACCAAGGACTCTCCCTGTCCACACCTCCATGGGCTGTTCTGACCACGGTTCTGACTTGTGCTTCTCTGCTGGGGCAGTTTTTCTGTGAGCAGGACATGGCAGCCCACTGTGGTGTGCTGGGAAAACTGGGTTTGCTGGGTGCTCTCAGTCCTTAGCACCAGCACAGGCAGCTGTACATGAGTGGGCTGGAGGAGCTCCAGTGGCAGTGAGACATTTCTGGGTGGCAGCAGCCCTTTGTACAGTGGCTGAGCTCTCTCCCTCCAAGGTTAAAAGAAGCTGGGATCCAGAGTGTCTATTTATAGCAACAATGTACAGTTGCCTTGGCAGAGAGGAGGCAAAGAAATGCAACTACTTCATCTTTCAGTGGTTAGGCCAGGCTGGGCAGGCTGCCCTTCCACCCTGACGTGTCTCCAGAGTCCCTGCTGGATGGATCTGAAGCCAGCAGCACATCTGCCACAGCTAATACCACTTACTGCTACACATGAAGTACCTTTGTGCTGCCCACACCAAAGGCGTTCCTGGTCTTTGTTTTACTCAGTGCAGAATAATTCTCAGAGCTGTTAGTTCCTTTCATGCACCAAACCTCTGGAGTCCTGGTGCTTTTTTGTGTTAAGTTTCCCCTAGTCTGGAATGATCACTATGGCAGGTTCCCTAAATGCATGGCTGGCATCAGAGATTTGAGTTAAAAATTAGCAAGTTTCCTGGGGTCTCTTACTGCAGGAGGAAAGGTGAAAAGTCAGCTTAGCTGTCACAATGATTCAAAACCAGCTGTTACTCCATTCTGAGGTGGAGGGGCAGAGGGGCTTGTTTTCCAAGGAATCTCAGTGATAGCATAGCTAAAATGCTTTTTAACATTCTGGTTGTTAGTCAGTCAGGGATGTAGCTGCACAAGGTGACCTGGGAGAATGAGAGAGGTCCTGAGGGGTATTTTAGTGCACAGCGAAATGGTAAAACGACTTCCAAAATTTCTCATCCATGTGGAGTGGTGCTGTATCTGCTGTCCCCAGTGCCAGTAGCTCAGTGGAATAACAGTGCCTGGGGACAAACCTCCCTTCTGAAGCCCCCACACTTTGCTGCCCAACCTGCCCATTGAGGATGTGCTCTGGAGTGTGCAGCATTCCCCCTGTCACAGAGAGGGAATTTACTTCCAAAAGGAATGGGTGCACCCTCAGCAACCTCTGCCTTGGAGCTGTAGTTCCCACAGTAACTACAGTAACTCCCCACACATAATTTTTCCCTCAGGCCTGATGTGTTTCACCCTCAGTGCCCTGGATGGGAACACAGAAATGCAAAGCAGCCCCTCGGTCCTTCCTGGGTAACCATGACCTGAAACACCAGAACATGGAGCAGCTGAACAAGCCTGGTAGGAGCACTGCAATTCACTGAGAAACTGAAGATCTGAGCATGGGAAACATAAGGAAAAGCACAACTAACACCAACACTCCCCTTGTGGAGAGGCAGAGAAGGTAATGTCTTGCTTTCCTATCTTAACAGGAAAAAAGGTGCCTGCACACCTGAAAGCTTCAACTTGTCAGTCGAACCCAAGGCCTTTCTGTGACACAGCTGCAGCCTCAGCCACAGGGAAGGTGGCAGAGCATGGATGTCCTGACAGAGCAGCACCATTGTCATCATTAAACACATCCTGGTTCTCAGAGATCATTTATAAATCTGAAGTGGTTAAGAAAAGGCTTTTAGAAGAAGGTCCTTTTGAGCTTGCACACCGGTATCAGAGTTTGTGTGACTAATCCTCTGTGTGGATTCACACTAAGCCAACAGGTCCCATAAAGAGGGCTGGGATAAAGTATGTTGTTCTGCAGCTACTGCTGGTACAACAGCACCTTGCAGGGATGTAAGAAAAGAAAAACAAAACCCTCCTGCTTTTCCTTCCTCTTACATTACGTGCTGTGAGGAGCTGGAATAGACCAAGGGATTAATTTCATAGCACTGTAATTTATTTGTCATCAGATGTGCACTCCCAGGCAGGACACGTGAGGCAGGACACATAGAAAATGCTGGCAAGTGCATGGAGGTGGCAGGAGGGGTCTGGACCTTGGTTCCTACTATTAGTTTATTTCAATTTTAAGATTATTTCTGTCCTATCTCAGTGCAGCCAATTCCTTTTTCCTAGTGGTGCTGCTGTCCCTCACATGAGGAGTGAGTGGAACATGGCACCCCTTCAGGCTGTCAGGCTCCCTGAAGTGATACCTGAACAGGCAGATATCATTCTTCAATGGATGTGATCCTGATTAGTATCTGTGATTGCTTTAAGGCAGATGAGAACAAAGGGTCTGTCTGCTACACTCTGCACCCTACACACATGGATTCTTCTCTAGTGCCAGAGTGGCTGGCATCCACAGGATCACACCTGCTCTGTGCTGCAGGTGGCCCAGGTGTGCTGCTGTCACCTGTGCAGTGTGTCCTGGCAGCAGATGCCTTGCTGTGTTCTACCTGTTCAGTGCTTCCCTGCATTCCTTGGGCTGGGATTCACAGAGCGCTGTCACTGTAGAATTAACTGTCCCAGTACATCAGTAGGGCATGATTCAGACAGGTAAAATGATGGCCAAATACACCCAAATTGTACATCAGTTACTTCTTTAAAAGTGGCACTGAATTGAGCTTAATTTATCAGATGACTTGGCATGGTAAAGGAAGAGGCTCTGAAGTTTCCCACTGCATGCAGCATGTCCTGGATCAGATTGGAAGGAGTGGGAATGAGACACTGATCACGAGAGCTCCCAGCTGAGGACTGTATTTCACAGGGGTGGGGACAGCCAAGGTCTGCTCGTGTGAAGGCAGAACAGGTGGGTTTTATTTGTAGCAGGCCAGTAAAGCTGAGCATGCCTGGAGTGAGGTGAGGAGTCTCCCAGCCAGGGCCTCCCCAGCTGCAGTGTCCCCCTGACCCCTCCCCTGCAGCCTCAGCTCTCCCCCCCTGTCCGAGCACCCCTCCTTCTCCAGCTGAGGTTTAGGTGCTATACTCCAGCAGTGTGGGGGAAACCACTTCCCAGTCTCCGTGCAATAGTAAACAGCATTTTGAGAAAGGATTTTCCTGCAGGAGCACCTCCAGTGATGTCCCAGCCGACTGCAGGGGCTCAGCCTCTCCCTGCCCAAGGCAGCTGAGCTCTAAGAGCCCTTTGCTTTTTTCTCCTTTTTTGCTCTAGATGCCATTAAGGTGAAGAAGAGCCTGGGGCAGAGGTTCCTCAGGTAGACAGCCAGGCAGGGCGTCAGGCCAGCCACAAGCACTTCCTTCTTCTTCTGTCCCACTGCATTGAGAACCACCCGAGCCACCTCGGCCGCCGTCTGTCCCTCGGCCGTGGTCTTGTCCATAACTGCCAAGGGAAAGCTGAGTGAGCAGCAACACCAGCAGGTAAACCCTCACTGAGGAACCTTTCCTAGGAATGCTCTAACTGCACATTGTTTTGGTTTTTATTCCAGTTGTGTAGGTGTTCCTCATGGTTGGCCCAGAAGGCTATAGTTGCTGTCTGGGAAAGCTGAATTTTGGGGCTTGCTGTTGCTATCCTGCATCCAAAGTTGGTTTTTCATCCTTCAGGGCTAACCTGTGTTCCCACCAGAGGCCATGTGTTGCAAACACACCTTCTAATAACATGGAAATGCTTTAGAAATAGGGCAGTGAGAGGTCTCTCACCTCCATAGCGAGATCCATCCGCTGTGACAGCGTTGAGGGACAGGTTTGTCTGGATGTATCCAGGGCTCACAACTGTCACTTCAATGTCATACTGCTCCACCTCTGCTCGCAGACAGTCAAAGAAGGCCTGGGTAGCATGCTTAGAGGCAGCATCTGGAAAACAGGAAAAGGACTGTGCACCAAGGAGAAGGAGCAGGGCTGAAGGAATTTTCCCTTCCTGAATGGATCTTTCACTGCAATGCAGCCACTTCTCAGCAAGAACCCAAGAGCTGTTCTCCAACCTCTACGTTTGTTTTTGTTTAGTGAATGGCAGCAACAGGTAGTGGGAGTCAGGGCAATTTAGGAAGACAAAATGTAAACTCAAGTTGAAAACTGGCTGGGATCCTGAGCTTAATATCACAGCCGTGCCAAAGCGCTTCAGAGTGAACCCAAGCTGCCTCCCACTCCTGATAAAGGAGACCCAAAGGCTTTGGAAGGCAGAGCTGGCTGCCCTGCACGTGCCGAGCACTGGGGACTCGCAGAGCAGGTTCAGGGCTTGGCTGCACACAAGGCAACACCAGATCACACAGGCAGGCAGAGCAGGGAAGCTCCTAGTGCAGGATTTTCCCCCGTGAAACGGCTGAGTGACTCCGTTTTCTTGGTCACTGCCACACCAGCAGCACCAGAGCCAGCTCAGCACAGGTTGCACACGCTGTGAGGACCCAGGCAAGGGCTGAGCTCCTGCTGCCAGATCCACATGGCTCTGGTCCTTGTGCACATGCTCTGGGAGCTCCTCAGAACACACTTCCTGGAGCTATTGGACCCACATCACCTGCTAAACCCCACGGCTCAGACATTCCAGGCTCTCCCCCACTCAGCATCATTCCTGCCCCACTGTATGTCTTCACCACTCTACTTCTGGTGTTTACTTTCAGTGATTTACAGATGCTTGCATGTCAAATGCTCTCCTCTTAGTTCATCCATCTTTTAAAAGGTTTTTTTCCCAGTAATCCCACCAATATTTCTTGTCATAACTGATTTAGCATGAAGAGTTTGCTGGATCAACATTGTTTAGGCTTTTGTTCTGGTATTGTTTGTACCATGGCACTTCATAATTTATTAAAACAAAAATTCCTGCTTTCTTAGAGGAGAAAATGCAGACAAATGACAAGGATAAAATACCATAAAATTATGGAATTATAGTGACTCTCAAGTGTTAAGATAGGACTGTCAAGCTCTTTTCAAAACATATTCTCCTTCTTCACCCCTTAAAAACTTAAGGACGGGGCTAAGATTTTTTATTTAAGACTGCTGTCAGTGGTTTGTGACCCCACTGAGGGTGATCCACAGCTTATCCTTCCCTGCACGCAGCCAATTCCATGGAGAGTTAAATGTGGAAGCAGGAGCCAAGTATTTATTCAGTCTGCTGCCCCAAATATGTCTTTCCCATCTTCTGTGGAGGTACTTACATGCAGATCTGAAAGGAATGCTTATTTTGCCTTGCACGCTGCTGATGGCCACAATGTGGCCTTGTCTCCTCTTGATCATGGAGGGGAGAAGTGCTAGCAAAGGACAGAAAAGACCCATTCAGACAACAGTCCTGCCATTGCTGCTGTCAAGAATCAAAGCTTTCAGAGCACTCAAGAGATGCTGAAGGGAATTACAAGATCCCTCTTCAGTGCAGGGGTTGGAACAGTGCTTGGGATGCCTCTGACTGAAGCTCTGTCTGGCTGGGACATTCACCTGTGAGGAGGTTCCTTGTGCCAGAGGCTGCACAAGAGCTGCTCCCACACAGTGGGCAGCAGGACTTGCTTTTCCTGCCACCAGAACATCTTCCCTTTTCCTGCAGCTGACACACTCCAGGCTGAGCTTTCTGTGTAACCAAAGTTTCCTAGGAAAGCTGCAGCTCCACTGCACCCCTCACCACGTTCTCCAGAGTTCTGTCAGTGCAGACAGGATAACTGGACCTCTTTCCAAGTCCCTGCCAGGCTAGCATCAGGAGATGGAACCAGGGATCATCTCTAGTGGGGTATTTTCCACACAGTCATGCCCTCAGGCCTGCCCATAACCCCAAACCTCCCTTCACCCTGTGCCTGTACCAGGTATAATGACAATCACAAAATGAAACTGTGCTCAGTTGTACTGGTCTGCAGAGGCATCAGCCCAATCCTGTGGATCACAGGTACCTTTGGTGAGGGCTATAGGTCCAAAGTAATTTGTTTCCATCACTTTCTTATCCACATCCAGTCCTGTGTCCACGATTGTGCCTCGGAAGCTGATGCCAGCATTGTTGATCAGGATGTCCACGTGACCCAAGGCCTTCAGGATCTCCTCAGCAGCATTTACCACAGTTTTGGTGTCCGAGAGGTCAAACACCACAGTGTGAGGCTCGTGTGTCTGTGAATAAACTGAAGTTAGCAAAACACAGTTCAGTGCTGAATGTGCCAGCTGATGATGGGATCTCCCAGCTCTGCAAGCACAGGAGCCATCCAGGCCCTGTACAACTACAGTGCAGCAGTTCCATGTGGCAGGAATTCATGACAGAAGCAGGTTGGCAGGAATTCATGACAGAAGCAGGTTGTGCTCATCTTTCTCTGCTCCTGTAGCTTGTTCCTTATCCCTGAGCCTAGCAAAGGGAGATCTTCCTCAAGTACTAAAGTTTCCTGTAGTCTTATTAAAGAAAATGCATCTGAAAAAGGCCAAATGTAACTGTTTTCTGCAGAAGCCAGCAGTACCTTTCTTAGCTATTGTCAGCAGGCATAGACAAAATATAAAAGCCAACAGAAAGAAAGTCACTTTTCCAAATTCAGTGTATGAGGTGCAGGTGTAAGGAGTTTGGGCATTCTGTGCTCGTGTGCTTTCACTTCTATTTCTAGCCATGAGGCCTCTTTCTGTGGGGTTTTTACAAGGAATGACAGCTCAGTGTACTCCTATATCAGCCTCTACCCCTAACCACGGAGTTGCATTTTTCCTATTGCTCAAGAGAACAGCCCACAGGCAATTCTGTAACTTCTGTAACAACCCAAGCAGAAATCCTGTCCTCGTCCCACACTCACATTTTTGCGGTGATTCTTCACAGCACAAAGCTCCTGCACCAGCTCTTTGAGCTTCTCACTGTCTCTGCCACAGAGCACCAGCTTGGATCCAGCTGCATGGAAAGCTTTGGCACATTCTGTGGAGGAAGCAAGGAAGAGAGCAAAATAGGCATGTGAATACCAGACAAAGGACAGATTCACATCAGACCTGGTGATGGCCAAAACTGCTGTTTGCTGGCAGGGTCTGAGGTGGCTTTACTGCTGCTGTGTGATGGCCAGGCTGATTTACAGCGAGGTCACAGCCACGTGTGAGACTGTGAGAGACACATGATAGTGGTGAGGCAGCTGCTGTGCTCACAGATACTGTGCTGGTTAGACATCCTCCCCCTTAGCTGGTCAAATTTGCCTGTGTCTCCATTTTTGACTTTATGCCCTTCTTAAGAGGGACCACAGCTTGTTTAAGTCATCTAACACAGGTCTTAGGACTTTCTATTTTAATGAACACCTCCAGAACCTCCAGAGGTTCTGAGAGCCTGAGATATGATGTCTTCATCAAGGTGATTCTCTTCATTTGGAAAAGCCTGGCAAAGGGGTGCCAGGCTATTGTCCTCCTAATTGCATGTTCCTGTCCCCTCTGGGAGCCAGAGGGACAAACTGCTTGTTTGCATAAGGGATGACAGTGGATGGCAATGAACACACAGTAATTAGAAATGGTCTGGTGTATTAATAAATAGGAGTAAGGGGAAGTTGTAAAAGATCTTGCAAATGAGTCAATAAGGGAGGAAACTTTACTGTACAGTGGTGGAAGTCGCTACACCCCACAGCACAGACGGAGCTCCACCTGGAAGGTTTCTCCTGGAATACTAATTTCCTCTCTTCCTGATGAGAACTACAAGATCCTTTACCACTCCCACTCTTTGGTTGAGGCAGGCAGAGAGAACCAGTTCATCTCCTTTGGCCAGTTCCTGAACACCCCTGTCCTTAGGGACAAGCTCACATGCAAAGGCAGCATCAATTAAAGCTCTATTTGTTCTATAAATGTACTCATCCTAATGAAAGGCCTTGCTGGCAGAGAGCACCTTGTCTTCTCTTCAAGCAGCTTTTAAAGCAATTATAGAAAGCAGAATTAGAGAATGTAGCCACTGAAGCAAAACAAAAGTTTCAGCTGGAAAAAAATACTTCCTGGTGTTAAATAAAGCCAAGAGTTTAACTTTAGAGTGGATGGATTTGTACCATGAGAGGAAAGGTACCTTAACTTGAGGATGAGGGAGAAGGAGGAGTGGAAAGTTTGGAAGAGCAGCTGGAAGTACATGAATGCAGAATACCACTTCTGGGAGGTTTTAAAGAAACAATTTAGCTTCCTGGCTTTTTCAGGATTTAGGGAAAGGACCCCTGACAGCACAAGAGCAGCATCTGATGCCTTGCTTTGATGAGCTCCAGTTTATACAGGATGATTGCAATTTTCTGTACCAAACATTGAGACTTTCTTGCATCCCAGTCTGCACTGGCTGTGGTTATAACTCAGGTGGGAGCCACATCTCTCAGAACTCAGATCAACAGGAACTTTCAGCTCACTACTGCTTTATCCCAAGAGCTGCTCCTGCCACAGGCCCATGCCTGTCCTGCCCTTGGTGCCCTGCTTTGGGTCCATACCTTTCCCCAAGCCAGAGGAGGCCCCTGTGATCACCACCACTGCTTCCTGCAGGTAAGCTCGCATCCGCACCCACTGCAGCAGCCGGAACAGCGCGAAGATCCCCAAGCTGCCAAAAAGCAGCGGGATGATGACAGTGCTTGTGAAATCCATCAGCTTTCCTTTCTGAACTGTCTTCCTAGAGCCACAGAATAAAAGGAAAGAGATCATTTCACCATGAAGAAAATGAGCAAAGGCTTGAAAACTGTTTTGGAATTATTTTTCTTAACCCTGCCTTAGACCACCAATAAATCGCCAAGATACCTCTGTATCTTCAGCAGATTTTCTCATCCCTTCATTTAGGCTTTGGAAAGTTCATATCAGTACCCAAGTTAAAGCATTTAAATAGTAATGTGAACATCCCAGCAGGACACTTGGCATTGCATCCTGTCAGCTGTCACGTAACAAGCTTGGGTTCAGGGATGCTGTTCCCGTGTTTTGCCCTAAATTCACCCTCTTGTTTGGAATTTCCTCAGGGCTGGGATATTTCTCCACATTCTTCTGATTGTATAGAACAGTTCAGATTTCTCTAGAACAGCCAGTACCAGAGTATCTACAAGCTAGAGATCAGTTACTGTGTATTATCCCAGATGGATATGAGCCAGTCTGTCTTTTGGAGGCTCCAGGTTTTCTCTCTGAACCAGTTATTTGCTTAACACACTGAAATCTCATGCTGCAGTTGGATTCTGATACCAAGGCATAGCCCTAATCTCCTTGCTAAGCCATTCCTTCAAGGGAATAGTTTATGTGACAGCTTACTCCAGGGCCAAAGAGCAACTGGGACTTCTGTGAAAAGGCCACTGATTTTCCCTCTGTATATCCCTGAGCTTTTATCACAGCTTGGTGTAAGAGTAAAGTTAATTACAAGCCCTTCCTGAAATCTTCTGTGTCACACATGAAGTCAAAAACAAACATCAGGGTATTTTCCCTTCCCTTCTTCTTTCTCGTGCAGGCAGAGTTTGAACTCTTACAGTCTGAACTGCAAGACAGGCAATCTTCTATCTGGAAAGATACTGGGACATTCTGGGCATACAACTTGTGCTCCTTCAAACAAAAGGACAGCACTAGAAGCAGAAAATAAGAGGTCACTACAATGCCAAGGCAGAATTCGGTGTCACTGTGTAGGACTGAGCTTGTGTGGAACTGAGGGGATGGCAGAGGCTCTGCATGCCATGGAACAGAGCTAATGTGGAAAATGTCAGGCTCTTCCAGATATCCATCAGGGGCTTGGAGAGAATTCCTCAAATAGCTGCTCAGTGAACAGCTTGCTGAAATAGTAGTGAACTGATTAAAATAAGTATTTCTGGGGGTACAGCTGGAACACAATAAAATAATACATAAAGACATCTCTAAATAAACTTGGCAAGGTCTAGAAACAAAGCCATCAAGTCAGAACACAAATCTTGTAGTCCTTTGGAGCTTCCCATTCCCAAACTGACTCATGTGTGTCTGAAGTCCTTCCTGGTGTGGTCTCCTGTGGATAATGCAGGGAGACATGGGAACAGCAGCTCCCCTGGGCACAGGGAGTGTGCCCAGAGTGGAAAAGCAGAAATCCAAAAGGAGGATTCAGCTCAGGCCACTGCAAAGCATCTTATTCCTCCAGCCCTGAGCTGAGGGAGTGCACACAGTGTATTTTGTACTGGTTTGCAGCCAGGGACCGCTACAGTTCATTTGGCATAAGAGAATGGATCTTCCCTAAAATAATTTCTGGGAAAGAGATGTTTTGATACAAAGTCACTGGATTTTCAGACTGGATGAGAAGGTTCTCCTGACTGGGTCATGCTCAGCTGGTCGTTGAAAGCAGCTGCCTTCTTTATGATTCCCCTTTTTTTGTTCTCTCAAAGATCTCTTGAGATTCACAACACGAGGTGTGGGCAGGGACAACAGGTGCTGTGCTGACATTGGGCTTACAGAAAATTCTGGAATAAAAAAAAACCCTTCAGCCCACGTTTAGGCTCTTTCATTATTTCCAGAGTGGGAGCTGGCAGGTGCAGTGGCACTTCCTTCATGAGGCACTGGAAAAATCTGGCCCTGCTCTGGTACAAGTGAAATGCAAGTGAAAAGGTAACTGGGAAGAGGGGGCTTTCCTGACACCTCTCCTAACTAAAGCACAGTAAGATCTGAAAAATATTTCCAAGTCTTTTATTGTTTTTCTTCCCTTTTTCTCCATGTTATACACAGGAACTGGGCAGATTGTCCATCTCTGCCTGAGGGCTGCAGCAAACCAAGAACCCAGGCAGGAGCAACAACCTGCTCTGGCAGATTCCTGGCTGGAGTCTGAACCAACAGGTAACAGCTCTGGGGAGGGGAAGCAGGGGATGGGGAAGAGAAGGGAGAGGAGCAAGAGAGAAAGATTTGCCAATCAGAGATGTAAATCCCTTTATACTGGGGAATGCAGATGCAGTGCCTTCTTCCAAGGTGCTCAAATGACCTCTTAAAAAAACCCAGAACAAAGAAAATATCGGTTCAGTCACATTTGAAAGAGAGGACAACCCAGCTGAATAAATTATTTGGGACAGAAGAACTTCTGTAGTACTTCAGACCTACAGCAAAAAGATTTGCTTTGATTTTGACTTCCTTCTATCACAAACTTTAGGTAACACTGAAGTAGCCAAAGACATTAAAAACGGGGGTGAGGGTGGGGAACACGTGGGTTCTAATTAGAGATAAACTGACTATCTCAGGCCTCCTGCTCAAAGGTCTGAGACCCCACTATCACCTCTGTTCAATAATTTGGGCATTCACACTGAAAAAAATTCCCTGTTATTAGCAGGTAATGTTTATAACACCAGGGTTTCAGAATGGGAGAAGTCACTGCTCATTAAGTGGTGCAAACCAAGTCCTGTAATTCCCAATTCTCCATCCCAAAAGGCAGGATTGGAACATGCAGGTTATTCGAGAGCAGAAATAAGAACACTGATAATGTGAGGAAATACAGGTGATAGGAAACTTTTAGAATAAATCACATTTATCCAATTAAAAATAAACCCAGAACTTTCCCCTTAAAACAAAACTGGATGTTCTCCTATGAAAGCCAGGACAGTGGTTTCTGAAGGAACATGGATATTGATTAATAAGGTCAAGGGTGCATTAGAGACAGCAAAGATGAGACCAAACCCCTGGAAGCTTCCCCAAACAACACTGATTCTGCAGCTGCAGGCTCCCAGAATCACATTGTCCTTTCCATGTCGAGTAGCAGCAACTGGGAGGCTGCATTCCCAAATCAAAAGGTTTGCAGGGATAAAAGAAAGGGGAAAAAAATCTGGTTTTTCCTAAGGAAAAAAGCACAGCCCCTCTAGGTTTGAGTGAGGACTTTAGTCTGAAGAAAGCACAATGTCCTACCTGAAAAAGAGGCTCACTTGCAGTGACTCTGAGCTGGAGCTCCCTCGGTCCTGGAGCAGGACAGCCCCGACTTAAATTTGGAAATGGCAGCGATTCAAGCAAGTGTCCAATGCCAGCTCAGCCAGGGGCTGCCTCTAAAAACAAACCTTGGGAATACGGGCTCTGACCTTTCCAGTGGAGGGGGGGAATTTAACCCCCAGAATGAGAAGATAGAAGTGAATTCAAACTTCTGAAAGCAGTAAAAACTCTTAGGGAGGAATGCAGCAACTGGACAGAGCTCCTCATTCCAAACAGGAGAAGGAGAACAACAACACAGCTGGAATTCTCAAAAGTTGCCACCTGAAGCATCACCCAAGGAAACCCTCTGTTGTATCCCAGCAGTCATTCAGTGCATCCTGCCCAAGTTCTTCCGTAATTGTTATGCAAAACAACAACCTCAATCCATGCTGCAGCAAAAGGAGGATAAACACGTTTCCATCACCCAAAAACCAGCCTGGAATTGAGGAATTATCTGCTCCTCCACCTGGTATAGTGGAAGGTGTCGCTGTCCTTGGCAGGGGTAGAATGAGATGGGATTTAAGGTCCTTTCAACCCAAACCAGCCTAGGATTCTATTAAATCGTCTTCTCATTAATCTTCCTGCCACTTTTACTCAGTTACAAATTGCAATTCCACCCTCCCACGCGGAATTCCTCTCCTGGTGTTTGGGACAGAAACAAAGGTGGCCCGATTAGAAAATTGAAACATTTGTTGTTCCAAAGAAAGTATTTTTCAGACATTTACCAAATCAGGAACCACCTAAACCTCCGTGAGAACATGACAGCCGGCTGTCTCCCTGATTTATCTATAATTAGGTATTTAACGTCAGTACCAGCGGTGAACTCTGTCCCGGAGAGCGCAGCGTGTCCCTCCCGACCTCTCCCGCCTTTCCCAGCCCCCCGGCCCTCTCAGGGCCGCACCCGCAGCCCCCCGGCCC